TTCCCAAGGAGACTCATTACGTTCTGGTGTCACAAGGCACCAAGACATTCTGCTGCGTTGTCTCTTCCTTTTTCCATTCCATTCCAGGACACGGCCTTTTGCTCTCTTTGGGAGTGATCCCCATCTTTATAAATAAACCTCCTGCCAGAAAAGCCGCCTCGAGGGTGACCTTTCCTGGACACCCTCCAGCTGCCCCTCACTCACCTTTTCTACATCGCCCAGTCCTTCTGTATCCAACAGCACCAGAGTGTGATCAGGCTTCAGGGGATGTGGCCGACACCACATCCAGATGCCCTTGGTGTTTGCCTGTATTGTGGCACCCAAAGAGAAACCTGGAAGGGTCAGCATGGAAAAGTACAGAAATGACACTCATGAGGATTTCTGTCGCAATACCAAACCTCCGTCTACTTTCACTGAAGTACTTTCATCATTTTAAAACTCTTGTGAACGGGGACCAACCCTATCACTTCAGACTCTGGATATCTCAGATTTCAGCTCTCTGAAAGCTCTACCTTAAGGATGATGAGAATTGCAGTCCAAAACACAAAAGAGAGCCAAAGGCTTAAAACCCAGGATGAAACAAGCTGCTTAGATGTTTGCTTGGGTATAGAAGGGGTGGTAACGGGTGAAATGCAGCCTCCTTGGGTGCGTGAGTTAATTGAATGAACTTCTAGAGCAGGAATGAAAGTAAAGAGTGTCATAGAACAGAAAAGGTCCTGTAACTCCATTTGTCAAAGTTACTTTTCAAAAATAATTCATATCAAAGCAGTTTGCTACTCCTGCCATTTTTAAAACAGCAAACTCATTGTATTAATTGCTTTTTTTCCCCAATACTTTTCAGGTGGGTAAAACCCTTAGGACCAACATTCCCTCTAAGGTGCACGTGCACGCATGCAGAGCTCCAGCAGTGCCGCACAGCGGCAGCCAGGATTGGTGCCCATTTGCTTCCGCGCTTCACATGAAACCCTGCTCCCTGCACGCATATGGGGCAAGGCTCCCGCACAGTAGGACCAAAAAATTAGAGGGAACATTGCTCAGGATTGATAAAAGATTGGCATAAAACATTTCACTTTCAAGCCCTTGAAGGACATCTAAAAGTTACCTTAAAAGTAGTTACAAAGCATCCCTTATTATTCTATCCCCAGGAGAAAAAAACAGTGTTATTCATTCAATTCCTTACGAAATGTAACTTTGTGACATTCTCATTTCCAAGTTAGGAATAACGATTCCACTTTGGAGCCCTAAACAAGCCAACATATCAACATTCACCTCCTTGGTCTTTTCCTGCCAGCTTGTTCATAAGGTAAGACTTGCCGGTCCGGTATAGTCCCACAATGGCCACCACCACCACCGGCTGCTTGATCTTCCGAAGGATCTCCAGGGCTTCCTGGTTAACTCCCAGCTTTTCGCCAGGCCTGTTTTCTATCAGGCAGATGGGGGCTTCCATATCGTTCGCTTGAGCTGTGGTAGGGAAAGTCCGTGGATTCTGAGGAACCTGTTGTGATCGAAAATCAAGGACAGGAAAGCAGGCGCTAGCAGGTTCTGGGCCATTATCTTCAGCCGGCGGCCATTTTGAAACCTGACGATCAGCTGGTTTTGATCGTTGTAAAGCGAAAATCAGTTCCCGAAGCAGGGAACCGATCATTGTTAAGCGGAATTCCCCCATTTAGACCATCGTTCAATCGCAAAAACCTCATCGTAAAGCGATTTCCTCATTAAGGGAGGCAATCGTTAAGCAGGGCACGACCGTATTATGTTTAATTCTCATTGGTCGGCC